TTTTGTTTTATTTTCAAAAATAATAAAATCCAAAATTTTCTTTATCTTCAAACAATGAAAATTTACTATATTTATAAATTTGTAAAACTTTTACAAATAGATAAACCAAATTAAAATCTAATGATAGCAATCATAGTAATAAAAAATGACAAAATAAAAGAATACTTATTTCATTTTCTGTTTTGTTGTTATACTTATAATAAAAGCTTGCTAGGATTTATTGCATACATAGTAATAACAATTTGCTAAAATTTATTACATATAATACAATTTGTTATAATTTATAATACATAATAACAATTTCTGAAATTTAGTTATTCTATATCTACTTATATTTTTTTACTATTATAATAATATAAATATAATACTTTTTATTGTATATATTATAATTATAAATGGCAATTACTTATTCTAAAAAAAAAATTATATCATGTTATATATAATTTACTAAAATATATACTTACGATTATTAATATACTAAATTGTTACATAGCATGTTAATTTTTTATAGAATAAGTAATTGTTATTTCTAATTGTTATAGCAATTTGCTAAGATTTTTATATTTGTATAGTGATAGTATTTACTAAGATATATATAAATTATGTAAAATTTGTTATAATATGAAAACAACACTAGTTGTAACAACTTTATTGTTTTTAATAAAATAAAGAAATTACTTAAAATTAATAATATTTAATAAAAATTGATAATAATTACTTTAAGTTAATTCTTTAAAATCTTTATTTGTTTTACATTTTAGATCTTTCTTAACTATTTCTTTTTTAGTTTTTATGATCAATACTGCTTAATAACTATTTTTTTTTCTTTTTTATTATTCTTATTTGTGCTTTTTATCTCATTTTAATTTTTTTCGGATTTTTTTACTTTTTTATCTATCTTATTTGTTTTTTTCTCAAAATGCATTGAGAGTATAAACATTGTAATCAAGAATTTTCAAAAGCCTACATCTCAATACAACATATTTTGCAAAGACATCTTTATACTCAAAATGCTACAAATCAAATTATAAATAAGCAGTTTGATAATAATATTTGGGATCTTTTAGAATATAGCTCTGATTATAATTCTTCAACAGACTATAAGGTAAATTGGAGTTTTTTTTGATCCAATAGTATATCATTTGATTTGTCTTATCAAATTAAATTAAATGATACAAAAAATCAATTTATACAAATTAATAAGTTGCAAATATTAATTTTTGAATACTATTAAAGTTAAGATGAGTATTATAATGCACTTGCAGTATTTCAAAATTTAGTAAACAATAATGAATAATTTTTATTATCATATATTGATAATAATCAAATAATAATAAAAGTATTTGATATATTTTACTAAATCTTGAAATATGACAAGTGTATCATATTTGGTACTGTCATAATTGTTAAATAATTATTTTTAATCTAAAATAAAAACATATCAATGACATTTCAATCAGAGTTAAGTTTGAATAAACTTAATATAATAGAAATAGAACCTATTAATATGCCTCATTTGATAGAAGAAATATCTTAAAATATGTCTGATAAAAGTGATATTGAAGAATATAGTGATGCTTTATTTGGTAATACTTTTTATAAAGTATGACAATCAAATGTTGAATCTGAAGACTATGAAGATGCTTCATTTGATGATGCTTTTTATGATTTGTATTATCATTAAACTATGTAATGGCCTAATGATGCTTATTGTAAATTTATAAAAATAGTCAATAGGTAACTTATAAGACACAACTAATCAATTTATTAACTATCAATTAGTTACAACTAATCGACTAAAGAATAATTGATTAGATAAAAAGAATTGATTAGTTAAAACAACTAATTAATTAAAAAAATTGACAATTTGTAGCACTAGGTATAATCTATCAAATTTAGCTAGTAATGCTATAATAAACTTTTTTAACAAGTTTTTCAATTTGAATACTATACCACTTCCACCATTAACCAAAGTCAGGAAGAAATTTCTTGATGTTTCTATTGTCTTTTATATAATGTTTAAAGAAGTTTCTATCCAAACATTTTAAACATTGAGTATACTTTTATTTATCAATTATTAATTAAGACTGTAAAGTCTTTATTAATAACCAATAGTATTAATCAGTCAATTGTTCTTTAATATGAAGAAAAAAATAATAATAAATAGTATAGAACAATGTGTCTTTGAAAAACAGTACAATGTAACTGGTAGAAACAAAAAGAATCATTATTACTTCTTGAGCAATGTTTATTATTGATTATCTTATATTCAAATACAACAATTCTTGACAATATGAAGAAATTTTCTAGTCACTCTATATTTTTATCACTTGGAAACATTCCAAATTCAAAGAAAAATAAACCAGAATCTAAGGCACTAATCAGATACTTACCAATCTTAAAAGCCAAGGATTCTAAAATGAAAAAATCCAAAAATTTCTAAAAATTCCAAAGAGAAGTTTTTCAAAAATATATGATGATTCTTTTTAAGCTTATAGCTAAAGAACCAAAGCTTCATTATATTATACATAGAAATATAATTATCTTTATTTCACATATATCAGTTATTATTACTGACATAACTGAAGCTGATAGATTTGCAAACATTTATTAACTATTATCTGTAGAAAAGCTATATAGAAAATGCATAGTATCAAAGAATAACTTGAATAATCTTGGTTTAATCTATATTTCATCTAGAACTCCATCATAATGAGGCAAGTGATTTGTAGTAATAATAATCATTATTATTTAATCTATCCTAAAAATAATGCATTTTGGAAGATAAGATAAGAAATAACTGTTTAGTAATAAAATTAAAAAATAAAAATTGTTATAAATAATAAAAATTTTTAGAAATTTCAATATATATAAGGCTATTATACTCAATCAAATGCACACCTTGAATTTTGGCCTCTTTAAGTATATGATTAATTATACTAAAGAGCTTTTATACGAACAATATGAAAATAAAGTTTTTTAAATCTTCAAACAATAATTAATCTCTATTTCATAATATTCTGGTTTGAAAATAATTAAGAATATGTCAGATATTATATGCTAACAGCTAATAAATTACAAAATATAATAAAAATAGTTATTTTTGTATTAGATAATCTATTTGAGTATTATAGAAGACTAGGAATTAGTAATAGACAGCTATGCCAAGTCTATTACAAATTCTTTTGAATGTATATTGCTATCTATGAAGAATTATTTACTTATAATTTTTGCAATAAGTTTCAGATATAAAGCAAATAAATAGTTAACTTTTTATAAAATTTGATTACTAATGATTATATTCACAAACTTACATTATAGAGTGGGCTAGAGAATTTGTTAAAATATTTTCAAAATACAATCCAAGTAGCCTTTAGCTTTCAAAACTCCATGTTTGGTACTATTATATAGTGTTTATAATTCAAGAGTATGATCAATAAATAGTATGACTACAGAGATTATAAAAATTATATAAAAAATCCTATCATATGTCAAATAAAAAAGACTATATAAAACAAATATTAAAGATGGTAGTTATAATTATTTCAAATAATTATTATTAATCATTAATATACACAATTATTATTTTCAGATTAAGTGACAGAAGTTAACTGAAAAAGAAGTTTTCAAGAGGTGTTGCTGTACTAAAGGATTTAAAAAAACTTTGTGGTCACTAAATTTAGAAGGTCTGAACAATTTTCTTGAGAAAAATAAAAATAATTTAGATTCATTACAAGTTGAAGGCTTTCAAAACCTCTTAACTGGTCTTGACAAATTTTTTAACGAGGAATTAATTATGTCTATTGACAAGAATAATCATATAGAAATATTTTCTTCTGCATCATTAGAAAGTACAGATATAATTTGTGTTATATTAAGTTTTCATAGTGCCCTAATGTTTTTAAATGTTATTGTTAGCAGCAGTAATAAAAAAGAAGTAATATATTGATATAGATTAGTAAGTATAGTTTAATTTTAATTTTATTTGCATACTATTGTAATCATGCATTTACTAATAAAAATGGTTAATAATGATAATAAGCAAAATAACTCTCAAAGTTAGAAGTATATTTAATATATTTTTATCTAGCTTTGAGAGGATTGAATCTATACTAATATAAATGTTATATATTAAGGTATTGTTAATACTTAAGTTCGACCAAGTAAATAGAGAATCACTTGAATTCACTTTAGTTCACTGGTATGAGGAAGTTGGTGAATTATAGGGATGTTCTAAATTAAAACTACTTAAACAATATAGTTGCATACCATTAGATAGCATAGATAAAACATTTTATATAATTTTAAGATATAATAAAATGAAGGGGAATTTATATATAAGAGCCTAAAAAGTGAAAATAATTACAGATAAGGGCCCAACTCGAAAATAATTACATATAAAGGCCTAATATTTAAAAAATATTACATACAAGGGCCCAAGGTAGTGTATGTGTATGAAACTCAGACTTGTGACTCAAGTCTGTGGATTGTTCATCATTAATAAGTATGTCACATAAGAAATGTAAGCATTAATAAGTGTAGCATAAGAAATGTAATCATCATTTGTAAATTAGTAATTATAAATGAGAGAAACAATGGACTTTGACCTCTTTAATAAATTTCATTTACTTTGTTTGAAATTACTTATTTTTATAACAAACCTGCTCTATAATGATAATGTCGAATACAACACTGCAAGTTGGTATGATATTTCCTAATATAGAAAGCATTCGTTCAGCTCTAGAGAACTACTCAGTTAAACCTCTTCGCCTTATAAGTTCAGGACTAATAAATCCAACAAACTACTTGTTGTTTGTCTTATATATGAAGCTAGTACATGCCCCTTTACAGTCTCTGCCAACAAACGTAAAGATGATTATATTTATATTGTAAGGCTAATTCATCACGATCAAAATTGCCCAACCTTTTAGAAACATTCAAAGCACGTGGATCATATCTTGTAAAGTTTGTTGCACCATTGGTTAAAGACATACCAGCACTTAAACTATGTGACATTGTGAATCGTCTTCGCTCTGAAGTGGGTGCTGAGACATCATATATGAAAGCTTAGAGAAGTTGAGCTACTAATAAAAAACATGGTGCAGAAGAGATAGAAAAGAGTTATCAACAGATAAATTCACTACTTGACAATCTGCTGATTAAGAATCCCAGAAGTGTTACTGCATTTGAGGTGGATAGTGAAAATCGATTTACTCATGCATTTCTATGCTTATAGTCATGGATTAAAGCTGCTGAACATTGCAGGCCTGTATTTACGTTTGATGCTTGTCACTCGAAGTCAAGTTACAAGGGTGTTTATTTTAGTATAAGTGCGATTGAGGGTGAAGGCAAGCTTGTTTCTATAGCATTCGCTATTTGTTCTGTTGAAAATTCCAACAACTGGATGTGGTTTTGTGAGTATTTGCATATGGCTCTTCTATTAATGAATTCACATGAGACTGTAATTATAAGTGACCATGAAAAGGTATATTGATATTTTAAATTTTTTTTTATTTGTGATATAATACTGTTATAGTAATTAACTATTTACACATAAGGTATTTCGGATGCTGTACAAATAAAACTCCCTAATGCATTTCATGCATATTGTATATGGCATATCGAAAAAATGTTAACACGAAGTTTAAAACAAAGCTTGGAGGTAAAATCTGGGCAGTGGCTAAAGCATTGCATGAAGATGATTTTAACAAAATAATGGAAGAAATTTCTAATCTACATGAGGAAGCATCTATTTATCTTGATGAAATACCCTCTGCAATGTGAACTCTTAGCAAATGTCCTCGAAATAGATTCGGTCATCTTACTTCCAATACATTCGAGTCTTTAAATTCTTGGTTATGTGATGAGCGTCTTGTAGAACCATTCGAAGCAATCATTTTATTTGTGCGCAGGGTCAATATACTTTATTACGATCATCGTATGACATATTCTTCAATCCAAACAATGTTGCCATCTACAACTACTCATCAACTTCAATCTGTTATCAGCAGATGTTGTAGCAGAATAGTGTATTAAGTCAATGAGTTTGTTTTTGAGGTTAAAAGCAATAATAGTAATTTTCGTATTGTGGATCTTACCTTATTAACTTGCACCTGTAAACAATTTCAAGAATATCAGTTTTCCTGCGTGCATGCATGTGCAGTTATTCTTAAGGCATGTAAACAGCCTTTACATTTTGTTTATATTACATATCTTACTGCAGCTCTTCAAAATGTTTATAAAGAGTCTGTCCAGCCCATTGATGTGGAAACATGTTTTCTTGATAACAAAACATTACCACCAGCTATGATCAAACTAGCAGGACGATCACGAAAAACTCATTTACGTAGTCATGGAGAAACAGCACTGGAAGACCAACTTACCTGTAGCAAATGTGGTGAAAAAGGGCATAATATATGTACTTGTAATCGAAGACATCAGATAAATAAAAATTAGTAACTTTAGTTTAAACTAATATGCATAAATGCTTTAATTTTTAAATGTAATTTTTAAATTTTTTAATAAATACTATTGCAAAATGATTATAACTAATGCTTTATTATCCTTTATTCAATAAAATTGTAATATTAAATGCTTATAATGAATATATTCAGCAATTTTATAATCTTAGTTGCTTGTGGTCATAATGCTCCTGTAGCATGATAATCCCGTAATCACGTTTTTTTCAACTATTAATAGATTTGGGCCCTTATATGTAATATTTTTTAAATATCAGGCCCTTATATGTAATTATTTTTGAGTTGGGCCCTTATCTGTAATTATTTTCACTTTTTAGGCCCTTATGTGTAAATTCCCCTAAAATGAATGAATACTTAGTGAATATTTTTATGTTTTAATATTATATTAAAGGGTATATCGATATTTAAAGTGTTTTAAATTTGAAAGTATATTTTGTAATATATATTTATCAATTGATAATGATGTAACAAAAATTATGACAATTGAAATAGATTTGATGACAATTGATAACTGTATTTTATCAATTATTACCTTATTATCAATTTGCATCGATATTTAATATATATCAAGAATAAACCTGTTTATCAATATATATTGTTAATTTTCAAATGATATATATCGATTAAATGCTATATATCAATTAATTTCTGTAAAAAAAATTTCCAATGATAAGTATTCTGATTAATGAGCAATAAGAGAAACATGTAAGTGTAATCAAAAAGATAAATATATATATAATAGAGCTTATACTATATTTTAAGCAATTGGAATTAGTAATTTTAAAAATTTATATACCACCAAGCAACAAAGCAATAGAAAAAAGCATTTAACAATAATTAGTAGAAATAGTTGCTAAAAAGAAAAGATAAATGCAAATAGTTATTTTGAATGATTTTAATTATACAGCAAATAATATATTAAACAGACAACATCTACAAACAGCAAATTTTAAAAGACTACAAATTATTAATTAGATAAAGAAACAAAACTTTAGTGATATTTATAGAGATATGCACATGACAAATTAAGAGTTTACATAGTCAAATAAAAAATAGCAACAAGAATTGACTATATATAAGATAGATATGGGTATTTTGATGAAGTTAACACTGTGCACAATAAAAGTCTGTAGAAACCTTAACTTTTTAATTTTTTTTTTCAGAAATATGAAGATTCTGATGTGTTTCACAATATAGAATGAAAAAAATACAAGTTTTATATGAATTATGCAATCCTCTTTATGCAACTATAATTAACATACCCCAGAGGGTATTTTGACGAACATGATAATCATTAACATTAATATACTATTAATATATTGATATAGATAATCTCTTATGTAGCATAAAAAATTTGTAGTCGATCTTATATTAAATTTGTAATATTGTACTTTTACTTAGTGGCGCAACATATAATATACAGGATGTGATTAGATAATTTGCACATAACAATATGCTTTCACTAAGCGCACACTAGTCACTGTTTGCAAAAAAAAAAATTAATCAGCTCTACCCTTTCCTTTATCTTTTTTTTTGTATTTTTTCTTTCTTTTTATACTCCCTTTCAGCTTTTTTTTCAGTATTCTCTAACTCACACATTACTTTTTTTTGGGCTGCAATCTCTTTTTTTCTTTTTATGTTTTTAGCTTTAGATTTGGCAGCTTCTTCTGCAGCCTCTAACTCTCACAAAGAATTATCATTAGTAAGAAGACAGGCAAAGGGCATTGTTTTTCTTTTTTTTATAGGCCAGGATTGAGATTCAACAACTTCACAAGTTTCTTGTTTGTTAGTTTGTGATGAAAGCTGAGAAGTAGAATATTTAAGTGCTATTTTCAAAGGACAGGTACCGGGATTTTTAAAGGTCTCTAGTTCTTCATTTATTAATTTATAACTTCTCTTAATTGATTCATTTTCTTTTTTTAATAATTCGATTACTTTTTCATGAGATATAATATCTGCTTTCAATATTTTACTTCTTTGGCAACACCAGTTCTAGTGAAGTATTTACGGGTAGGTTGAGAAGAGGAAGGAACAATTTTGGAAGATGATGGTTCTTTTTCGGTTGGCTAAGTGACCTCATATTCTGTTACTAATAATGGGACAAGACGTTCAGGGCTAATGGCATTAGAATTTAAAAGCCAAGTTCCTGTGTCTCTGAAGGCATTAATAATTGCCTTAGAAGTGTAGATTGTAGCGAATGCTGGTCCAAGAATCTTAGCGAATGTATACTTGGTTACTACTTCTCCCTTAGTATTATGTAGCTTATCACAACCTTTATTATACTCTTTTTTAAGTTTTGCAAAAGGGAGTTTAGACGCTTGGAGGATATGTGTTGTGTATGAAGGAAGTGCATAAAGTAGAATCCCATTCTCATGACAGAATCTAACACTTGTATAATTTACATGACTTTTATGGCCATCAAGTATTAATAGGATCAAACAAATAGGCAGAATTGACTTAATGAAGTGTTCAATATACATTTGGAAGAGGCTTTCTTGCATGTACCCAATATCAGTAAAACCCATAACAGCACCATCTGGACTTTTAGCTAATAAACCAGGAATCATACAAACACCTTTATAAATAATTAATAGAGGAATGTAGTCACCTGCTACTGAAATTGTTGGAGCAACAGAAATGTACTCATGCACATTTCTGTGTGAGACTTTATGAACTTGACGAGCGCCTTTTATAGAGTTGAGTAATTTTTTTATTAAAAACCTTAAATTTTAGTATTAGCTATGATGCTTATAATTTAAATTTTCAATACAAACCTTTTGTCATGAGAACTTTTTGGTCTTTAGTGGAAATAACGAAATCAGTTTTATCCATATTCTATATGCATTCCACAGTAAGTAAATGTTCCTCAATTATTTTTTGCAGCTTTTTAAAATGATCTTTTATAATTATCAGATTTGCTCTTTGAGCACATGCTTCAGATAGGGCTTGGGGTACTTGAAAAGATAAGTCTAAGTGATCTTTCAAAAAATGGTTCCACCAAGCCCTGTCAGGCCCTTTAGTTGTAAACAGATGATCATGATGATTGCTATGCACCATCTTCATCACACAGTGATTCACACCTGATCTTGTTAAACCAAACTCTAACTTCTGCATATTTTTACAATAACCTACTAGCTGCTCTTCCTCATGTTTGCTTAAGACTGTTTTAGGGCCAGTATGTTTAGGCAACCTATTTTTAACAGCACGTCTAAGAGTTCCTCTAAAATTCCAAACTTTAGAGCAGTTGAATTTACACTAGGCTTCTTAGGACCTGTGAGTACTTTAAGAGCAGCTCCAATTGTGGCAGAATGATCTTTTTGAGAGAGTCTTGTTAGTTTTTGATTTGTTTTTTTTTTTGATTTAGTCTTTGATTTTTTTATATGTTTAGATTTGGTTTTTTTAATAGCTTCCATTGATTTTTTTTTTTTTTTTTTTTTTAAGGATATTGACAGACGAAAAGTTTAATTTTTAATAGAAATAACCGTTTGATATGTTTAATTTATTTGATTTTATATCATTTTGAAATGTATTTTTTTTTTTTGCAAAAACTGTATTTTTTATTGGATATTAAAAAAACAAAAGCATTTAATATATCGAATTTAACTTTTACAAGACATTTGACAATTACTGTCTTTGTTTTTAATTGCAACAAATTCATTATTAAAATGATATAATAAAAGAACCCATGAATGATTTTGTAAAGTAACATTTTCGAATTAGATCATTGATTTTTTTAATATTGATTGATTTAAACGTGCATATGAAAATAAGTTATAAATTCAAAAAAGGATATTTATACATTGCACTTTTTGTTTTGATTCCCTTTTTGAATTAAGCATATATCTTAATAATGACAAGAGCTATCATCGATTTTACATAAATATTATAAATTTGGTACATTTACCTTTAAAGTATGTATGTACATACATGTATCATGATCTTTTGAATAGTTACTAACTGTTTTGGTAAAATTTCTTTTATATGCACAAAAGCATTTTGCTATCTAGTTCTATAAGATTTCAGAAGTTTTTTATTAAGCAATAAAAAATTTCTGAGAATGCTTAAGTCTAATATAACTTACTAATCACAAATATAATCAGAATAATTGTAAGTGATTATTTTTATAAAGATAATTGATTTTTTATTAATCATGATGGTCCTTTAAAGTGTCCATCTTGACAAATTATGCATCTGCTATTAATTGATAGTACATATAATAGCATAATCGATTTTATTAAGGCCAGTATCTTTATAAATATTTAGATTTACTGATTATTAAATAATTAATCATCTTTAATCAACATTCGCTCAAGGTATTTTTTTATCATATTTAATACATTTAATTAAAAATGCCACCTAGACATTATATCCCAAAGAAAAAACCATCTAAACGAGTCAATATTCAATTTATATGACGATCTAAACAACAACCCAATGTTCAATATAGGAAACAACCCAACATTCAAGATAGGCAACAAAACATAGAAGAAGAGAAGGTAGCATCAAATGAAGAAATAGCTGAAATTAAATTTATTGACAAGGAAGAAACAGCATTTGAAAAAGGTCTAGTAGCACTTTTTAAATGAGACCAAATGCAAAAGGCACCTGATTTTATAGAATCAGAGGTGACAGAACTAGAGGCGATTGAGATTACAGATTATTGGGAAAATCAAATAAGCTCAAACTTAACATTATTGTAAAGAATACCTGTTTTGCAGAATAATATTACCCCTTAGCATAATATACTTGCTTTCTTCTTTAGTAATCTTGATGTAAAAGATCCAGTTATAATATATAGTACCTGCCTTAGTATAGTACTCTTCTTAGCATTATAAATAAGCATAGTATGATAATCCAGGATTATTATTTCGCAAAATACAATAGATGTTGCAGATTCTCTTACTATAGGTGACACTTCTATATACTGTATATAAAAATGTATGCTTATGAATATAAATTAGAATTTGTGTTTATAATTTATATTATTAATCATATAATTTAACACAAAAAAAAAAAATCAATTGAATTTTGGGAATTGGATAAATTTTAATCACTTCACGCAATTGCGAGTGTGATTGTATATAATTTCAACCTTTACCTGTAATTTTTCGCATACTATCTAAACAAGTTGTTAAATATTAAAAATATTCAAAAGAAATCCATCAATACTTCAT